TGTCTCTCTCTGTCTGTCTGGCGAGCACACGCGCCCTATAGCAAAAAACTCTCAAAGCAAAAAAAGAAAAAGAAAAGAAAGAAAAAGTGAATATTCTTTTTTTTTTTTTGAGAGGTTTTTCACTATAGGGCACGTGCACTTGCCAGACAGACAAAGAGAGACACAGAGACAGAAAGCAAGAAATTACCCCCCAGGGGGGATGGCCACACTGCAATCCCTTCTCCTCCATTCTCCTTTCGGGATCTTGGGCACGAACACATACACGACCGGCGTGGGTTTTAAGCCACCGGGTCCAGGACGTGAACTGCAGTCGACTACGTGGGAGTCCAGTGACATAGCCATTATGCTAACTGCTGGTTCCCAAAAGTGAATATTCTAAGACCAGAAAAAGGCTATTGTAGGACTCAGATGTGCAATACAGGTTTCACTGGGCATGGTAACAAAGGTTTCCACTGGAGCTGACAGATCCATGCATAAATTCATTGCACAACAAAATAGATATTGGAGACCCTAAGGATACAGGGTAAATAAAATAGGAGGTCTATGCGCTCCTTGAGCTCACAGTCTGGTAAGGAGACAGATAATAAAACCAAGCATGATACAAAATAGGCGCTAGTCTAAGCACTTTGCACATGTTAACTGGCTTCTTCTGCAAAGCAACTTAATGCACTAGGTACTACTAGCACCTCCATGTTGCAAAAATCTGAGACAGAGCAGTTGACTGTCAGGGTAACTGCCCACCTAGTTCCAACACAGCAGCTGCAGGATTTGTGTGGCAGTGAAATAGCCTGGCTCAAGGACGATGCACTTCACCAGCAGACCAGGAGGCCCAGGCTCACATCATGATAAGAGCGACCTTGCCCAGGAAATTCCAGTGCAGTAAATCTGACTTGGAACCCAAGAATTTGCTCTTAAGCAATTCCCTCCTAGTTCTCCTTTCTTCACACAGATATGAAAAGCAGTAATGTGTGGCAGAAGAGGTCAGAATGAAGGTTAGCTCTGTGAGGTCGAGGGGCTTGGGGCAGCATTGACTGGGAAGGTGTGAGGGAGCCAGCCTGGGGCTGGAAACGGTCCTGGCTTGATCTAGATGGGGTTTCCTAGGGGCGCACATATATAAATATTCAACAAATAATAAAAAAATCTGCCTTAAGCTGCAGTGCCTCACGGGGTGATGTTAGCCGGGTAAGTGTAATAAAGGTGACCTGGTGGGGTGCTGGGGGAGTAAGCACTGTAGATAAGAAATAGCAAAGGTCTCCTTGGAAGGGTGACCTTTCATTCACCCTGGATGACCTAAAGGAACCAATTCTGCAAGACCAGAGCAAAGCAATCCAGGCAGAAGGAGGAGCAGGTGCAGAGCTTCTGCGCAGGAAGAGCTGGGCTTGTCTGAGCAGCAGCCAGGAGGCCAGTGTGGTGTAGCTGGGCTGGACAATGCAGGACAGGGTGGTAAGATTGGCAGTGGGACCACTGGACAACCAGTTATGTCTAGCTCAATCTTCGATGGTCTTATCACTATTAAGACATCACAGTATCAGCTAGTCAGTGGCCTGGTGGCTAAGGCAGCCAGATCTTACATGGCTGACTGTGTGGTTCAATTCTCTGATCCAGAAGCTTGAGAAACACAAGGGATGTATGTACAAGCTTGCTCAAAATCCCGAAAAGAGGGGAAAGTGAAAAAGGGATAGTAGTGTAACCATGCACCATGGCAGGGCTGGGGGCAGAGGGTGCTTTCTCATTTTCTCTGTCTCTCTTTGGTGAGCAAACACACCCTCTGGCACAGTACACGATGTCATGCATTACATGATGCTATATGTTACATTACATTCCTGATTTGATGGTTTCATGTTGATGACCTCCCTTGCTTCCAGCCAAATTCTATTAGAGCAGGCTGCTTTCCATGTGGCTCACCAGTGGACCGGAGGCTAGCATGCTGTCTGTGGACATTCAGGAATACACAGCTACTGGAGGAACGAACAAATCCTTAAAGGAAGCAGTGGGGAAATTTCCAATAGTTACACCAGCCATGCTCACCGAGAGCCTACTAGGTGTCGGGTGCTAGGCCAGGCCACTGGGGATGCATCAGTGAAGTGTTTTTTAATCCCTGCTTTCATGAGGATATACTGAAAGGGGAGAAGGAAAGAGCTAGTATGCTAGTCAATGATATCTATGTAGATAGTTCTACAGATATAGACATGAATGGATGGAGTCCAGACACATCCTGTGTTAGATGTAGTTAGTCCTAAAAAGAAAGATAAAAATAGGAGAGGGCCCTGCTGGTGGGGAAGGGGAAGTTGCCATGTTAGACCAGGCTAGCCAAGGAAGGCCTCCCTAAGAATGAATTCAAGGGCCCAGCAAGTGACCTGGTGATTAAGGCACTGGATCCCCACGAGGCTGACCACAGTTTGAGTCTCAGACTCAGTAGTTTGAAAATTACACCAGATATGTGTGCTTGCATGCCAGAAATCCTGAGAGGAGAATGGAGAAGAAAAGATTGCTGAGACCATCTTCCCTGGGGGTTGATTTCTCACTTTCCTTTTCTATGTCTCTCTCTGGTTAGCACACACGCCCTATGGTAAAAACTAAAAATAAATAAATAATGAATGAATGAATGAATGAGTGTAAATTGAATGAAAACTTGCCCGGTTAGGGAAGGTGGCAGGTGGACAGAGGGGACAGTGAGCACAAACTCCTGAGGCTGGAGGGTGGAGAGACACTGGTTGAAGAGGGTTGCAGGGAGTATGAGGTCAGGCGAGGGGACAGATCAGCCAGCTGCTCGCTCTCTGAGTGTGGACACCGACCAACAGCAAGGACATTATCACGTGGGAACTTAGAAACACCCTTCCCGGCCACGCCAGTATTACTAAGTCAGGACCTCTGGGGTGGGCCCAGCAGTCCAACAAGCCCTCCAGGTGCCTGTAATGTACGATAAGGTTGGAAACCACTGGAATAGGGGGCCCTTCAGCAGTGTGACCCCAGCTACTGATCTTACCATCCACCCCATCACTCCCCTCTATTTCAGGAGCTGGGCAGGAGACCCGCCCAGCGTTCTGCGGATTTGCCCAGCGCTGACGCTCAGCCGCCACGGCCGGCTGCGCCCGATACCCACCCCACAATTGCAGCCGGACCTGGGTCTCTGCAAACCGCCTAAGCGCCCCAGGAGCTGCCTGCTTAACCTCTACTTTGGGGGCCAGACGCCCCGGGTGGCAGGTGCAAAGGCGCCTGAGACTGGGGAAGCCAGCTGCATCCACCCAGAACCGCAGGGGTGTGGGCAGGGACGAGCTTCCGTAGCCCTGGGGACGCAGTCCTCGCTGCCCAGGTCGCCCAGCCTGCCGGCTCCCGCGCTTAAGACCATCCAGATCCCGGGGGAGGGGGGGATTCCACGGGCTCCAGCCCCCACGGCCTGGGCATCGGGATTCGCCCGCGCTTCCCCAGGGAACCTCTACTGCAAAGCCAGGTTGGGGCGGCCGGCCGGCCAGCGCCCTCTAGGCAGCGGAAGTGGAGATTGCTTTACATCCGTCCTCCCCGCCTCGCAGAGTTGGAGAAGGAAGGCTAGGGGGTGTGGAAAAATAAAGGGAAAAGTCCTTGCACCATGTAGATAAGCGCCCCCTACCCTGGCACCCCGGCCGGCCCAGGACCTCCGAGTCTGCGGCCATGAACGCAAGCAGCGAGGGCGAGAGCTTCCCGGGCTCCGTGCAAAGTAAGTGCTTTTCCGGGCGCAGTGCGCGCTCCGGGGCCCAGTGCGCGCTCCGGGGCCCGGGCCCAAGCACGTCTGCTACGCAGCTAGCAGGCCCGGGGCCCCGAAATCGGGGTGACGGCTGCGAGCCGGCGTCGCGGGGACCGCAGCGGGCGTGCGGTTCAGGGGGAGCCGGAATGGGTTTGGGGTGGGGGTACTGCACCCGACCCGGCGCCAGGCTGGGGGCGCTCTCTATCCTAAGGAGACCCTTTGGAAGGGAACGGTGGGGGAGGGCATGCCGTTCAGACAATCGCCACCCCTCGGGACATTCCCGCCCCTCCAGTCACAGTTTGGGGCTAAGGGGTAGGAGAGCAGAAAAGAGAGAATTTGGGGTAACTGGGCAACAGTGATGGAAAAACTTCTGCCTCAGTGGCTCAATATGAAGCCTGAAAATTATAAGATCTCACGAGGTCTTGCCGGCTCATTGCAAAACCTTTTTCCACATTAAAGGTGGACATTTGAATGGGAAATGGGGCCGTGCTCGCTTTCTTTGAGTTTGGAGATCATTTCTGTTTTCCTAACGAGGACATCGGCCGTTTTCAAGTCCCTGGGTTCACCCACTGCATTGTTCCCCGAAGTGTGGTCCAGAGACAGCGTGGAGCAGCCACCTGGGAGCGCGAGCGCGTGTTTAAGACAAGCTCTCCCGGCCCCACCCATCACATCTCGGGGGTGGGGCTAGGGCTGGGTCTCTGCTTGCCTCACTAGCTGCCGGCGCGATGCTGAGGCTCTGAGAACTTTGAGAACCCCAGGACACGGGCGTTTGCACACAGCGGCGTGGAACTGCTTAGCTTGGTAGCTGTTACTGCTAACACTTTTGGAGACATTGGCCAGAGTTGGGTGCGCATTCTTTGCATAACTTGTGAAAAGCACAGATTTCCTTCCCTAAACCTCAGCCTCCCCGCCCTGCCCCATATGTCTGAGTGTCTCCCAGGTGGAGCTCAGAGGACCCGGGTCATGTGTAAAGAGGATACTCCAAATAACCCCCCAGGCAACAGGCAGGGGCGAGGCGGAGAGGAGGCCCTCTGCTGGCCGCCTTCTAGCACCATCTCATTTAATTTTACAACCCCATGAAGTTGGAACACCACTTCTCCCCATTTTGCAGAAAGCCCAAGGCCAAAGTCATCGACCACGTCAGGGTTCTAAGGCAAGCCTAGGGCATTGCTTGGGCATGTCCCATATTCCAGCGCCATTTTTTGTTACTACACCTCTTTGACTCAGAGGATCAAGTCTGTCCCATCCTTAAGCAGTGCAAGTCACTTCATTTCCAGGTTCCTGTTTCCTGTCAGTTCCAAGAATGCCTAAAAAAAAAAAAACAAAAACAGGGAACCAGCAGTTAGCGTAATGGCTATGTCGCTGGACTCCCACGTAGTCGACCATGGTTCGCATCCCGGACCCCGTGGGCTCAAAAAACCGCCAGGCGCGTGTGCATGCATGCCCAAGATCCTGAGAGGAGAATGGAGGAGAAGGGATTGCGGCGTGGCCATCCCCCCTGGGGGGTAATTTCTTGCTTTCTGTCGGGGACCTCAGAGGTTTTTAATTAATTATCTTTTTTGGAGATTTTTGTTATAGAGCTTGTACTCACCAGAGACACAGAGAGACATAAAGTGAGAAATCACCCCCTAGAGGGGAATGACCACCTCACAATCCTTTCTCTTCTTGGGGTTTTGGGCGCACATGCACACTCACCTGGTGTGAGTTTTAAGCTGCCGGGTCCAGAACCTGAATCGCGGTTGACTACGTGAAAGTCCAGCAATGTAACCATTATGCCATCTGCTGGTCCCTTAATTATTTTTAAAATTTGTTATATGGTACATGTGCACTTGCCAGGGACAGGGTAGGGGTGAGGAAGCACTCCTGTGGGGATGGCCACACCCATGGGGAATGCTATTCTGATTCTGGGCACACACACTACCAGACCTGGGACCTGGGCTGTGTGGGATCCAGCACCTTAATTTCTGCACCACCTACTGACCCCTCTCTTCTTAACAAGTCAACCAGATTGTATTTCCACAAGATTTCCTGTCTTGGACTTGGGAAAAATCAGAGATAATGTAAATATCTTATAAATTTTCAGAAAATTATGGATGCCAACCATACATGCACAAAGGTAGTTTGGTAGTATTTAACTTGGGGAAGATCAGAAATAATGCAAAAGCAATAAATGAATAGTTAAAAAATAAAACGGGCCAGCAGATGGTGTAATGGTTACATCACTGGACTCTCACCTAGTCAACCGCAGTTCGAGTCCCAAACCCAGTGGCTTAAAACTTACTCTGGACATGTGTGCATGCATGCCTAAGATCCCAAGAGGACAGTGGAGGAGAAGGGGTTGTGATGTGGCCATCCCCCAAGGGGGAGATGAAATTGATGACAGGTGGACACCATGTGAAAAAGTGAATCTATAAAGAGATTTTAATGATATAACGTAATGCTTATGCAATGTTATATGGTGAGATTAGTTTTATAATGCATTATGGTCTTACACAATTTTTAACTGTAAAGATAATGAATGGGGAGTCAGTAGGTGGCATGGTGGTTAGGGTACTGGACTTCCATATGGCCAACCATGGTTCTAATCTTAGATCTAGCAGGTTGAAAATTATGCTGGGCACATGTGCATGCTTGCCCAAAATTCCAAGAGAGTAATGGGAGAGAAGGGATTTCAGTGTGGCCATTCACCCTGGAGGGTGATTTCTCACTTTGTCTGTCTTACTCTGTCTCTGTCTGGGAGCACACACACCCTATGGCAAAAACCTAAAAAAAAAAAAAAAAAAAAAAGGAAAAGAAAAGAAAATGAATAGAAGAAAATATTTTGTGACAGTCATAGTAGGTATGAGTGGAAGTATTGGGGGTGATTTTTTTTCCCTACTGCTTCATGTATTTTGTCTACATTTTTTATTATAAACGTGAATTTTATTATAAGGCAAAGAAAAAATTTTAAATAAAAAACGTAGTCATATTAGAAGCTTATTAATTAGGGCCAGCAGGTGGCATGGTGGTTGGGGCGCTGGACTTCCACATGGCTGACTGCAGTTCGAGTCCCAGACCTGGCAGCTTGCTTTCTCACTTTCTCTTTCTCATTCTCTGTCTCTCTCTGGTGCCCTGCAGCAAATTTTAAAAAATAATAATGATAAATAAATAATTCTTTTTTTAAAAGAAGCTTAGTAATTAATTAATCCTATTTCTTTTTTTAATAAGCATTTATATAGTACTTTCTAATATTGTGCAGGTACTATACTAAGTACTTTGTAGATATTAATACATTGTTAACTCTTGATATCATTACTATCAAGAAATAATACTCCTGTCAGGAATGAATTTTGGCTATGAGAAACGGAAACTTGAAGTATGCTAAACTAATAATAAATCTGGGGTTGGTTGATTCTAAAGTTGAGTCAAAGAATTATGAAATAAGGAACAGAATCTGTGTGTATCTTAAAATTTTCTTCAGAGTTACAAAATAGTTGCAGGAGCTCCTGGTATCACATCTGCATTCAAAGCCAAAAGAAAAGGGAGACAATGCCAGCCATGTCTGCTCCTTTTTTATTATGTATACCTAAGACAGTATCACAAGTATGCAGGGGACCAAGATTATTTAGACGTGTGGTTCTAATGTGGTGGGAGGGTTGTCTGGAAATGTGGGAGGATTGGTTTTCTTTTTAATTATTTTATTTTAATTCATTTCATACTTTCAATCAGTATATGTCACTTAGCTTGTAAACTGTATTTACCCAACATGAATACACTTCCCAGTTCAGGGTACTATACACGTTATCATCAACAGATAATAATCTATTTCTGTAACCCATATATGTCTTGCCTCTCTATTATTCTCCTTAATTTCTTTCCTCATCCTCTCCCTCTTCTCCCACCCTCTTCCCACCCTGTCTTCAGTATACCTAACCATTTTCCACACTTCTGTATCCTCTTGTCTTTCAGTTTCTGCCATAGAGTGCAGATAGTCGGTGTATGTTAAGTGGAGATATACAGTGTCTCTCTTTCATACCCTGACTTGCTTCACTCAGCAGTAAATCTTCCATCTTCATCCACTTTCTTTTTTTTTAATTATTTAATTTTATTTATTTATTCATTTATTTAAATTTGACCAGAGAGAGAAAGAGAGAAGGAAAGTGAGAAAGCAAGCCACCGGGTCTGGGTAACAAACCATGGTCAGTCATATGGGAGTATCGAGCACCTTAACTACCATGCCACCTACTGGTCCCCATCCACTTCCTTTCAAATGCCATGATCTTCTTTTTTTTTATGGCTTAGTAATAATATTCCATAGAGTACATGAGCCACACCCCCCCAACCACTCATCTGTCCACGGACATTTGGATTGGTTCCAGGTCTTAGCAATTGTGAATAATGCTGCAATAAACATAGATGTGCAAGCACTTTTCCAACCAAGTATTCTCCTACCCTTTGGGTAGATACCCAGGAGTGGAGTTGCTGGATCATATGGTGGTTCTATTTGTAGAT